GATGCTGCTTGGCCTGCTGTGTTCATCCAGCCTTGCACCTTGTTGTCAAGGATGGCAGTTTCCTTTCCTAAAGGGCATTAGTGAACCAGATGGGTTTTTCCCCTGCCAATTGGCACTGGTTTCATGGTCATCATTGGACTATTAATTCTATAATAAATAATATTTATTGAACTCAAATTCTACCATCTGCTGTGGCAGGATTTGAACCTGGGTCCCCAGGATATTACCTAGGTCTCTGGATTAACAGTCTATAATAATACTACTAGGCCATTGCCTTCCCATCTGGGCCTTGGAAGATAATGAAAGTGGTTTGTGCACCTTCTCTGCAGCCATAATATTGTATTTCTCTCTCTGTTCTGTTACCCTAAAGCATTGTGTATGGTATGATCTGCCTGTACTGCATGCAAAACAAAACTTTTCACTGTGCTTAGGTACATGTGACAATAATAATATATCAGCGGGTTGGTTAGCTGATTGTGACACCAACAGCATGGGTTCAATTCCTGCACTGCCTGAGGTTATCCTCAACCTTTCTCTTTGCTGAGATACAGTGACCTTCAGGTTAAACCATCACAGTCATGTCTCTCTCGAATGAGACACCAGCCTTATGGTCCAATAGGGTTATTCTAACTTTACCTTCATATCGATATAAGTACCTTCTGTCTGTCTCATTATTTGTCTGTCTGTCTGCGTCTGTCTCTCTCTCCATTGCAATACATTTATCTCACTGTATGCATTTATTGTTCCATCTCTGCGGCTATTTCCCAACCCTACACAAGGCAAATGAGCACAGAACCAGGGCAGCCCTGTCTCTTAAACCAGCCTGTTTCTTTTTGCAGGAAGTACTGCTGAAACGAGCTGCTGACCTGGTTGAAGCCTTATATGGAATGCCACACAACAACCAGGTAGGTGACAGAAGGAGAATGCGTTGCCAGCGGCAATGGCACTTAGTCTTCTTGGAACAAAATCATAGAACAGTACAGCACAGAAACAGTCCAGGAGGCATGTCGAGCCAGGAGTGGTTCTTTCGAAGGATAATCTAGCTCATCCTACTCATAGAATCCCTACAGTGTGCAGGCAGGCCATTTGGCCCATCCAGTCCACACCAACCCTCTGAAGGCCATCCCACCCAGACCGACTCACCTATCCCAGCCCTGCATTTACCACCACAAATCCACCTGGCCTGCAAATCCCTGGAAACCATGGGCATTTTAGCATGGCCAATCCACCTAAGCTGCACATCTTTGGACTTGGGGAGGGAAACTAGGGCATCTGGACGAAACCCATGCAGGCACGGGGAGAATGTGCAAACTCCACACAGTCACCCAAGGGTGGAATCAAACCCGGGTTCCTGGCTTTATGAGGCAGCAATGCTAACCACTGAGCCACCATGTCTCCCCATACTCCTCTGCTTTTTCCCCATATCTCTGACATTATTTTTTTTATCCTTGTGGTATTTACTCAGTTGCCTTTTGCAAGTTGCTTCTGAATCTGTATCCAAAATCCATGTCAGGCAGAGCGTTCCAACTCCCAATTTATCCCAATCCCAAAATATGGAAAAAAAAATCAATATTTTTGTTTGACAGTCTTTACATGACTATTTATGATATTTGGGGATAGAGACAATGATGTGTTTGCAACACGTTCTTTGTGCCCATTATATCCACCCATTTAAGTTCGACAGGTTTGTTTCTTCTCTAAAATAGCAGACAGAGATGTTTGCTCACTGAAAGCCTCCACAAAAGACCTCTGTCCTTCTGTACTCACATGGGAGGTCTATGCTTGATAATAAACTCAATTGCAATGACAGGAGTTCAGATAGAATTGCAACCATTGTGACCTTCTCCCTCACTTTCTCAGAAACAGAGAAAATAGGAGCAGGAGTAGGCCATTCAGTCCTTCGATCTGGCCTTGCTATTCAATATGATCATCGTCCAACTCAGTAACCCTGTTCCTGATTACCCCTCATAACTTATTGATCCTTTTAGCCCTAAGAACTGTATCTAACTCCTTCTTGAAAACTTTCAATATTTCGGCGTCAACCAGTTTCTGTGGCAGAAAATTCCACAGGCTCACCACTTTCTGGGTAAAGAAATTTCTCCTTGTCTCTGTCCTAAATGGGCTACCAAGTATCCCTAGACTGTGACCCCTGGGTTTGGAACCCCGGTCATCAGGAATATCCTTCCTGTCTTTACCCTGTTAGAATGTTATCGGGTTCTATGAGATCTCTCATTTCTCTAATCTGTGGTAAATATAGTCATAACTGATCCAGTGTCTCTTTCTCCATATTTAAGTCTGGTATTCACTAGAGTATGGTCATTTGATCTAACTCCATGAGCTTTATGTTTCAGTCAGTCCAGTAAAATAATTTCACATTGCAAGCTCCAATATTGAGCTATCGGTGATCTTTCTTTTCCAATGTTGACTGACTGATTGGAAATTTCTGGAAACATTCTGTCTCTTTGTCAAACCTCGTTCTGTTTATCTGTCTCCCCTCTCACCCTCACCCAGGAGATTATCCTGAAGCGAGCGGCAGATATTGCTGAAGCTCTTTACAGTGTCCCCAGGAGCCACAACCAACTTCCATCGCTTGCCAATACATCGGGCCACTCGGCGATGATGGGGGTGAACTCCTTTAGCAGTCAGTTGGCGGTCAACGTGTCAGAGACGTCGCAGGCCAACGACCAAGGTTTGTCACGGTACCTCTCATTCTTCTTTGGGAAAGTCAGAAAGTCGAAGGGTCAAGGCTCAAAGTTCATGACACCATGTATTTGAAAGCAGGAGGAAAGGAAATGAGGCAAGTCAAGAATGGAAAATGAGGACAGCCAATTTTTTTTTTGTGAAGTCATTCACAGGATGAGGGTGTCACTGGCTAGGCCAGCTTTATTGCCCATCCCTAATTGCCCAGAGGGTAGTTGAGAGGCAACCATTGCTGTGGGTCTGGAGTCACATGCAGACCAGACCAGGTGTGGATGGCAGTTTCCTTCCCTAAAGGACATTAGTGAACCAGATGGATGTTTCCCCCTACGGTTGACAATGGATTCATGGTCGTCATTAGACTCCTAATTCCAGATTTTTATTGAATATCAAATTCCACCAGCTGCCATGGCAGGATTCAAACCCAAGTCCCCAGAACATTACCTGGATCTCTGGATTAACAGGTCAGCAATATTACCAGTAGGCCTGTTGTTGGTTTAACTCAGGACTCTGACGCCAAAGCAGAAGTGTCCCTCAGGGATGTAAAGAGTAACCCTCCTCCCACACCTATTGCTGTCTTATTGAAATCAGAGAAGCATTCGATTGAAAATGAGTAAAATTTTCCAATTTCCATTTCCCACCTCCCCACCTGACATCCACAACCAAGGGGAGGCGGTTAGATCCTTAAGAAGGGCTAACGTTTCTTTAGACATTATCTCCATCTTGCCAAGCTTCCTAACGGGAGTCAAACCACAGGCAGCTTCTGTGGGGCACCACCATCTGTGGGTGATCCTGAAATGAAACAAGCCCCCTCTTCGACTCTTGTCCAACTGCCCACTTAGTTCTAAAAACTGCCTGTGTTGAGGCAAGAGGATCAATTATTTTTAGAAGAAGGAAGATTTGCATTTCCGTGGCACCTTACATGACCTCGTGATGGTTTCTCAACCCGACTGAAGTATTGTCACCATCGTCATGTAGGAAATACGGTGGCCATTGTGTTTCGCACAGCAAGATCCCATAAACAGCAATGCGGTCATGGCCAAGATAATTAGTTTTGTTTGGTGGAACAAATATTGGCTGGGCAATCAGAGGACACATGGAGTAGGGTGGGGGTGGGAGTTTGATGTCATTCTGTCACTGGAGAGGAATCTCTAACAGTGAGTGTTCTGAGGCTCAGTATGGATTCTTGATGGAGAGTTCTGCCCAATCATGAGAGATGGAGCAGAGTTATCATGTACCATCAGGAATTTAGAGCAATAAAGAGTGACTTCCTAGAGAGAAAGAGAGAGTGATCACAGTCTGAAAATGTTTAGTAGGGCAAATGCTGAGACGCTGGTTGGAAAATTTCGAATGAGTGTCACAGTACAACGATTCAGGGCAGCACAGTGGCTCAGTGGTTAGCAGTGCTTCCTCACAGCGCCAGAGACCTGGGTTCAATTCCACCCTTGGGTGACTGTGTGGAGTTTGCATGTTCTCCTTGTGTCTGTGTGGGTTTGCTCCAGTCCAAAGATGTGCAGGCTAGGTGGATTGGCCATGCTAAATTGCCCATAGTGTTCAGGGATGTGTAGATTAGGTGGGTTATAGGGGGATGGGTCTGGGTGGGATGCTCTAAGGGGCAGTGTGGACTGGTTGGGCCAAAGGGCCTGTTTCCACACTGTAGGGTTTCTATGATAAGGGGGTTGACCATTTACTACAGATACCTGAGATTGTTAAGACATTTGAGTTAAAGGAAGGAGAATGAGAATTGCATGGGAAGATGGAGGTGAGATTGAGTTTGAGCCATGAGAGTAAATGGCAGAACAGGACCAAGGGGTTGCATAGTCAACTCCTTTTAATAATCTGGAGGGTTGGTTGGCTCAGTTGGCTGGCTAGCTGCTTTATGATGCAAAGTGATACCAACAGATCTAGGTTCAAATCCCCCCACTGACTGAGGTTCCCATGATGGCCCCAACTTCTTAATCTTGTCCTCTCCTGAGGTATGATGACCCTCAGATTAAACTACCACCAGTCATCTCTCTTTCTAATGGCAGAGCAGCCCTCTGGGACTGTGGAATTCTTTGTTTATTCATTCATGTGATGAGGGAGCAGCTGGCTCGGCCAGCATTTATTGCCCATCCCAGGGAACTGCTAATATTTTTGAGAAGATCTGTAGCTCAGAGTTGTGGATGAGGTTGTAGACTTGCTCGCCGAGCTGATGGGTTTGTTTGCAAACGTTTTGTCACCCTGCTAGGTAACATCGTCAGCGCGCCTCCGGTGAAGCGTTGGTGTTCTGTCCAGCAAGCCCTAGCAAACTGAGGCGTATAAATAACAAGTGGGACAGAACACCAACGCTTCACCGGAGGCACACTGACGATGTTACCTAGCAGGGTTATGAAACGTCTGCAATCAAACACACTGGCTTGGCGAGCAATTCTACAACCTCAACTGCTAGGTGTCAACTGCATTGCTGTGGGTCTGGAGTCACATGTAGACCAGACCAGGTAAGGATGGCAGTTTCCTTCCCTAAAGGGCATTAGTGAACCAGTTGGGTTTTTCTGACAATCAGCAATGGATTCACGGTCATCATTAGACTCTTAATTCCAGATACGTTATTGAATTCAAATTTCACCATTTGCTGTGATGAGATTCAAATGGCCATGGCCTCCCCCATTCACTTTTACTGATGTTTCTATTCAGCTGAGAGAGCAGACAGGGCTGGGTTTAATATCTCATCCAAAAGTTGGTGCCTCAGACAGTGCAGTGCTCCTTCAGTCCTGAACTGGAGCTTTTGACACTTTGCACTCGCATCCTCAGCAAGGGTGTCCATAAGGTAAAGATTAATTTATGACTATTGTGGGGGGCATGCAACAGAATTGTAGGGTTGTGCTCGTTGCCATTAGAGACGTGGATGTTTTCATTACAAGCTTATGGGGGATGCTGGGGGAGAAAGGAATATTTGGCCAAGCTGTTGTGATTTCTAAGAATAAATCCAGGAATAAATGACAACCTGCTGTGGGACTTTAACTCACAACCCTTTCCGTCAGAGCAAAAGGATTGTCACTTCTTTGATGGGAAGGGTAAATGATGGGGAGTGGCGTGCAGTTTTATGCTGAACTTTGTCACAGATCATTTCAATGCCAGAATGTGCATCGTATTATCGGTGCATTCCTAACTTAGACCGCCCTTTGATTTGCATTCTCCATCATGGCCTAGCCTGAAGAGATTGGTAAAATAAACAATGATTATTCTGACGTGAGACCCTGAGCCTTTATCGCTCAGGTTTTGTATCTGACATCTCAAAAGGGGAAAGGGAGAAATCTGTCTTTGAGACGAGGTAACAGAAAATAAATTGAAACAATTTGTGTCATCTCGACCAGCATGAAGTGGCATTTTGATGTATAACGGAGAAACGTGCCACCACTATGGTCTTCTCATATTGTCTGGTTGCTTCAGCCTCTCCAGCCTTAATGCGATGTGTTTCCGGTGCTGCTGGAAATGAGGTGCTGCAGGCACGGAGCCCACACGCTCACAGACAGCAGAGTGCCTCTTGAAAGATCCCCTTCGCTTCTCAGCAGCCATCCTGCTAATTGCAGGGTGCGTGCTCTTGTAACTGTGGCCAATTAAAGGATCCTGGGTGGTCGGAACGGGATGAAACGAAGCCTAATCGAGAGGATGGCGTGTCCTCACAGCTACCATGTGCAATCAGAGACACAGAGAGAGACAGGGAAAGAGAGACAGGGAGGGATGGTGAGAGAGAGAGAGAGACAGGGAAAGAGGGAGAGGGAGGGACGGTGAGAGAGAGAGAGAGAGAGAGAGAGGGAGAGCCTTACCTTTTATAAGTGAGGCCAGGAAGGCCAGAGATCAGAGAGTGCTAACCGGAAGCAGAGCTGTGGCTCTGATAGGTGGTAATTACCCTCCCCTCACCCACCCCCTCATCCTGCCTTCCTTGATCCTCCCCTTCCCAGTTTTGCCGACCTCCCCTGGCCTCTCCATTGGGAAAGGAAAATGCTGTTTTCCAACCATGGAATTTTCCCAAACGTTGAATGTGCTCTCCCTTAACCTGAAGTGATAATTTGTTACAACTCTGCAGACATGCATGCCACCTCCCCATCCCCCACCGTCCCCCACCCGATTAATTTCCATACTTGGCTTGGACACCATTACATTAGAGGGTGATTAGAGTTAATGGAGAATACTCCACTAAGATGAGCAACAAAGTCCATAACAGCAAAGAATCAGGCTATTCAGCCCAACATATCCATAGGAACATTGGAACAGGAGTAGGCCATTCATACCTTTGAGGTAGTTCTGCCATTCAATCAGACCGTGGCTGAACTGTAGCCTAACTCCATATACCTGCTTTTGGTTCATATCCCTTAACACCTTTGTTTAACAAAAAAAACTGTCCAGCTCAAATTTAAAATGAACAAATGATCCAGCAATTATGGAAGAGAGTTCCAAACATCTGCCACCCTTTATATTTGGAAATGCTTCCTCAGTCTATGCTGATAGACTACTATGCTGATAGATCTACTGCGTACAGTTCTGGTCGCCACATTACCAAAAGGATGTGGATGCCTTGGAGAGGGTGCAGAGGAGGTTCATCAGGATGTTGCCTAGTATGGAGGGCGCTAGCTATGAAGAGAGGTTGAGTAGATTAGGATTATTTACATTAGAAAGACGGAGGTTGAGGGGAGACCTGATTGAGGTCTACAAAATCATGAGAGGTATAGACAGGGTGGATAGCAAGAAGCTTTTTCCCAGAGTGGGGGGCTCAATTACTAGGGGTCACCATTTCAAGGTGAGAGGGGAAAAGTTTAAGGGAGATATGCGTGGAAAGTTCTTTACGCAGAGGGTGGTGGGTGCCTGGAACGCGTTGCCAGCGGAAGTGGTAGAGGAGGGCACGATAGCGTCATTTAAGATGTATCTAGACAGATACACGAATGGGCAGGGAGCAGAGGGATACAAATCCTTGGAAAATAGGCGACAGGTTTAGATAGAGGATCTGGATCAGCGCAGGCTTGGAGGGCCGAAGGGCCTGTTCCTGTGCTGTAATTTTCTTTGTTCTTCTTTTCTTTGTTTAAGCTCTACACTGGCCTCCTCCCACCCTGCTTACCCACTTTGTTTCATTCTGTTAGCATTTCATTCTATTTCTTCCTTAAATGCATTTGTGTTATTCAGCATGTTAGCTACTTATTTTGGCTGTGAGTTCCATACTCTAACCATGTTGGATGACTATGTTTTTCTCATTCACTTGTGGGATGTGGGCGTGGCTGGCTGGCCAGCACTTATTACCCATCCCCAGTTGCCCTTGAGAAAGTTGTTGTGAGCTGCAGTTTTGGTCTCCTTTTCTAAGGAAGGATGCTCTTGCACTCGAGGGAGTGCAGGCTGATTCTGGGGATGGCGGGTCTGATGTATGAGGAAAGATTGACTAGGTTGGGATTGTTTTCACTGGAGTTCAGATGAATGAGGGGGATCTCATAGAAACTTATAAACTTCTAACAGGATTAGACAAGGTGGATGCAGGGAGGATGTTCTTGATGGTGGGTGTGTTCAGAACCAGGGATCACAGCCTGAGGATACTTGGTAGACAATTTAGGATGGAGATGAGGAGACATTTCTTTACCCAAAGATGGTGAGCCTGTGGAATTCATTACCACAGGAAGTAGTTGATGCTAAAACATTGAATGTATTCAAGAAGCAACTATATATAGCACTTGGGGTGAATGGGATCAAAGGTTATGGGGAGAAAGCAGGATTAGGCTATTGAGTTGGACAATCAGCCGTGATTGTGATGAATGATGGAGCAGGGTTGAAGGGCCAAATGGCCTCCTCCTGTTCCTATCTTCTATGTTTCTTTGTTTCTATGAACCACTGCAGTCCATGTGCTGTATGTAGCCCCACAATGCCCTTAGAGAGGGAATTCCAGGATTTTGACCCGACAACAGTGAAGGAACGGGGATATATTCACAAGTCAGGATGGTTAGTGGCTTGGAGGGGAACTTGCAGGTGGCGATGTTCCCATGTATCTGCTGCCCTTGTCCTTCTAGATGGAAGTGGTCATGGATTTGGAAGGTGCTGTTTAAGGATCTTTGGTGAATTTCTGCAGTGCATCTTGTAGGCAGTACTCACTGCTGCTACTGAGTGTCGGTGGTGTAAGGATTGGATGCTTGTGGATGTGGTGCCAATCAAGCGAGTTTGTCCTGGATGGGATTGAGTTTCTTGAATGTTGTTGGAGCTTCACCCATCCATGCAATTTGTCCGCATCTCTTCTGAATGCCCATTAGATTTGTTTGTGCCTACATTGTATTTATGATCATTGTTTTGGACTTACCTCCCACATACTCGTCCATAGCTGGTAACACCTTCTTTACATCTATTGTATCCAACCCCTTCGAAATGTTTGAAGTCTCTCTCAGATCCAGCCTTCATCTTTCTTTACAAAAGAGTCCCAGCACCCCACGGTTCTACTTTTGCACATTTTGCTCCCCACCTTCCCAGGAACTTGTGTTTGAATTCTGTAGGTGTACTTTGATTGGAAGTCATAGACTCCACGTTGAGAAATTCACCCACTCTCATTGAGGTATTGTCAGAATTAGACTGACCCCAAACACTGAGCGATGTACCCGATAATAAAGAAAATCACACGGTTACACAAATTGCTGATGTAAATCTGTTGTTACCTGAAAACTTATGTTTACGGCAGACAATGCATTGACAAGTGCCTGTTACTGCCTGGAACTCAATGCCAGGTATCTATTACTCGATGTAGTTCATTCCCAGATATCCATTACTCTGAGCATAATCCAAGGGATCCATTACTGTCGGCTTGCCTTCAGATTTTCCAGTTTTTTTTTCATTGTTACGATTTGGGGAGGTGATGGCCTAACGGTATAATTGCTCCATGGAATCCCTACAGTGCAGAAACAGGCCCTTCGGCCTAACAAGTTTACACCGACCCTCAGAGCATCCCACCCAAACCCATCCCCCTATAACCCACCTAAATCTACACATCTCTGAACACTCCGAGCCACCGAGCCGGTACTCTTGGACTGTGGGACAAAACCGGAGGAAACCCACGCAGACACGAGGAGAATGTACAAACTCCACACAGACAGTTGCCTGAGGGTGGAATCGAACCCGGGCCCCTGGCGCTGTGAGGTAGCAGTGCTAACTACTAAGCTGCTGTGTCGCCCAAATGGACTGTTAAACCAGAGACCCAGATAATGTTCTTGGGACCTGGGTTCGAATCCAACTGTGGCAGAATGTAGAATTTGAATTCAATACAAATCTGGAATTAGGAGTCTGATGATGACTATGAATCCATTGCCAATTGTTGGTGAAAAACCCATCTGGTTCACTAATATCCTTCAGGGAAGGAAGCTGCCATCCTTACCATGTCTGGCCTACATGACCCACAGCAATGTAATTGAACATAGAACATAGAACAGTACCGCACAGTACAGGGACTTCGGCCCACGATGTTGTGCTGAACTTTTACCCGAAACCTAAGGTCTATCTAACCTCCACCCCTACCTTATACTATCATCCATATGCCTATCTAATAACCGCTTAAATGCCCCTAATGAGGCCGACTCCACTACCCTCTCCAGCAATGCATTCCACGCCCCTACCAATCTCTGAGTAAAGAATCCACCTCTGACGTCTCCCCGATATCTACCTCCACTCACTTTAAAACTATGTTCCCTCGTAAAAGCTACCTCCATCCTAGGAAAAAGTCTCCGGCTGTCTACTGTTTCTGATCATTTTGTACACCTCTATCAAGTCACCTCTCATCCTTCATCGTTCTAAAGAGAAAAGCCCTAGCTCTCTCAATCTTTCCTCGTAAGACCTTCCCTCCATTCCAGGCAACTGGAAATCTCTTCTGCACCTTTTCCAACGCTTCCACATCTTTCCTGTAATGGGGTGACCAGAACTGGACACAATACTCCAGATGTGGCCGAACCAGGCTTTTGTATAGCTGGAGCATAACTTCACGGCTCTTGAACTCAATCCCTCTATTAATGAAAGTTAACACACCATACGCCTTCTTAACAACTCTATCCACCTGGGTGACAGCTTTCAGGGAACTGTGAACATGAACCCCAAGATCCCTCTGCTCCTCCACACTGCCAAGAATCTTTCCGTTAACCTAATTGACTCTTAACTTTCCTCTGGATGGGCAATAAATGCTGCTCTAGCCAGTGATGCTGTCATCCTGTGAAAGAATGAAAACAATTACACACTCAAGTGAGAGCTGTGTGTGTGAAATCTGAGTTGGCATTGCACTGCATATTGAAGGAGTGCTGCACTATTGAAGGTGCCATCTTTCAACAGAGACGTTAACGCTCTGTCCTTCCTGCTCTCTTTGAGTGGATGTAGAAGTGGATCCCAGAGCACTATTTTCAGGAAGTGTATGCGTTTCTTTCAGTGTTCTGTCCACTATTTGCCCCTCAACAACCTATTGCATGTTTCCCCCACCACCAAAAAAAAAAATGAGGATCATCTGGTCAATATTGCTGTGTGAAAATTAATTGTCATAGTATTTTTACAATAAGCAAAAACAAAAACCCATTGGTCTAGATCAAAGAATAATACAGCACAGGAACAGGCCCTTCAGCCCTCCAAGCCTGTGCCGACACATTTTGCCCTTCCATACTAAAACTGTCTTCACTTATAGGATCTGTATCCCTCTATTCCCTTCCTATTTATGTATTCATCCAGGTGCTTCTTGAAAGCTGCTATTGTGTCTGCTTCCACCACCTCCTCTGGCAGCACGTCCCAGGCACTCACCATCCTTTGTGTGAAAAACCTTGCTTGCATATCTCTTTTAAACATTCACCCCCCAACCCCTCACCTTGAACCTGTGTCCCCTAGTAATTGACCCCTCCACCCTGGGGAAAACAAAAACCTCATACTTTCCACTCTATCCATGCCATTCACAATATTATAAACCTCTATCAGGTCACCCGCCGAGCCCCCTCACCACACCCTACCTCCTGCATTCCAGTAAAAACAAACCCATTCTAGCCAACCTCTCTTCATGGCTAAAATCCCCCATAACAGGCAACATCCTGGTAAACCTTTTTCTGTAGCCTCTCCAAAACATTCACATCCTTCTGGTAGTGTGGTGACCAGAACTGGATGCAATATTCCAAGTGTGGCCTAACTATCATGCCTCACCAGTCAATATCTGTTCTAATCCTATTTTTCACCACTTGGCCTGTAGCCTTGTATGCTTTGGCATTTCAAGTGCTCATGTAAATGTCTTGAGAGTTCCCACCTTGACCACCTTTTCAGGCAGTGAGTTCCACATACCCACAACCTTCTGGGTGCAAACATTTTTTCATGACCACCACTTCCTGTTGGACTTGTGGTCAAGCATGTTTCCCTTTGCAAATTTCTCCATGAAAGACAGGTGATATGGAATGGTCCAACTACTTAAAGCCAGTCCCATCCTTCACAATATCAGGGACAGGAAGAACCTTAATACGCAGTGACGCTTGGTGTTTGCGCACCGAGGATCTGTGCACAGCTTGATGCAGCCACACACAAGGATGGCCATCAGGATGAGGCAGCATTGGGTACATTCTCCTCCCTCCCCCTCCTTATCCAGAGTTTGGTACATGGTGTCCCTGCAGACTTGGTCCATCTTAGACCTCCAGATGAAGATGAACTGCAACAGAGCAGTTTCAGGGAATTGGCCAAAGCTGCACCATGTACAACAAAGACAGAGTGCCTCACACCTGATGACCAGGTTTTTACCTGCAATGGAGAGGGAGCAGTGTTCCCAAAAGGCCAGTTTCTGCCTCACCTTGGCATTGCACTCCTCCCAAGATTTTGTGCATGCCCTAGCCCCTCTGAAACATATTCCTACCACCTTCAGATAATCTGTCCTGACAGTGAAGGGGATAAAGGATGGAATTCTCCCAGAATCCTCCTCAGTCACTTCTCACAGCCACCCTCTGTTGGATGCTCTTCCTCCTGTTGAACATCAGGTCCTTCACCATTCACTTCTGAGTCATGGTGAGCGAATTGCCCTCTGTTGTATTGACCCTGTGGTATTCCACTGGACTCCAGCCTCCAGTCACACAAATAGCCTTACACCACCACACTCGATCTCCTACCACTAAGCCTATTTTGGACCCATTTTGCCAAATTTCCCTGTGTCCCACAAACTTTTATTTTCCTTATCAGTCTCCCATGTGGGACCTTGTCAAAGGCTTTGTTGAACTTCGTATAAACCACATCAACCCTCTCCTACAACCCTGGTCGCCTCCTGGAAAAAAAACATCAATCAAATTTGTTTGGCAGGACCTGACTCTGATTTAGCCATGTTGACTGTCCTTGATCAACCTTGCTTATCCAAATGGAGATTAACTCTCCTTTTCAGAATTTTCTCCATTAGTTTCTCTACAACCGATGCAAGACTCACTGGTCTGTAATTCCTTGGTTTATCTCCACCTCCCTTCTTGCAATATGCAACCAGATTAGCTGTCCTCCAGCCCTCAGGCACCTCCCCTGTGACCAGAGAAAGGAATTGAAAATTTGAGTCAGAACCCTGGTAATTTCCTCCCTTGTCTCACACAGCAGCCTGGGATACAATTCATCTGGGTCAGGAGATACGTATGCCTAAACCTCCAATACCTTATCACTCCCAATGTCAATCTGGTCATGTTTATTGAATGTTTCAAATTCAAATTCAACGGGGACAAAAAAATCTTGAATTAAGAGTCCAATGACAACCATGTGCAAATTGTTGGGGAAAAACCCATCTGGTTCACTAATGTCCTTTAGGGAAGGAAACTGCCATCCTCACCTGGTCTGGCAAACACATGGCTCTAGACCAACAGCAATGCGGTTGATACTTAACTGCTCTCTGGGCAATTAAGGATGGGCAATGAATACTGGCCAGTGACACCCTCGTCCCATGACTGAAGTTAAAAACAAAAGCAGTGAGTACATGCCCATGCTGGGCTGTCCCTGTATGTACTGGAATGAGCTCTGCCTGTTTCATTTTCTTTGTTAGCTGAGATGTAAAGATTTGAGAATGAGGATGTTATGCTTGGACTGTGCAAACCTCTAGTGGATCACAGCTAGGGGACTAAATGGAGTTCTGGTCACTGCATTACAGGAGGGATACAATTACACTGGAGCGGAACAGAGGGGGCTTTATGAGGATAGTTCCAGGAATAGGAGATGTTTCGCTGTCAGGAGAGCCTGGATAGGCTTGTATTGCTTTCTTTGAAATAGAAGAGGGTGAGGGAAAATTTAGTTGAGGTAAAAAAAATTACGAGGGGCCCAGACGAAATGACTGGGAAATCTCTCTTTCTGTGAACAGAGGCGGAATCACTGGGTACATGGATGTAAAATTATTGATGGAAGGATTGGGAAGAGTTGAATGATTTGGGATCTGGCAGTGACTGACCGAAAGGGTGGCGTGCCACATTGTATTTGAGCTACACCAAACCTCAGGACCAGAAGGGGGCCCGAGGCTGGATGGAGCAGCAATGACGTAATGGGCCAAATGGCCTCCTTCTGTGCTATGGATTCTATGTGTCTTTGTCTTTGTCCCCTGTGCAGGTTACAACCGCAACACCAACAGCGTTTCCCCTCGAGGGTACGTGACCAGCTCCACCCCCCAACAGCCCAGCTACAATACCAGCAGCATGAATGGGTATGGGAACACTGGGATGTCCAACCTGGGAATACCGGGCTCTCCGAGCTTTCTGAATGGATCTGCTGCCAACTCTCCATACGCCAGTAAGTTGGGCAGAGCTCTGCCATCGAACCCTGAGGGCTGCGGACCACATTAGTGTTCTTTGTCTAACTTCAAAATGTGTGTGGGAGGAGGGGGTGGAGGAGGGGGGAATCGTTTTTGACTCAAGTTTGAGGGGAGTGATATCGACCTGAGTTTTTGTTAAATGACTCTCTATCCCCCACCCCATAAATTCAGGTATCAGGATTAAGATATTTAGCAAACCAATTCACACCATTGGCCTGGTTTCCAAATTCCCCTCAATCTCACAGTCTTACTGATTGTACAACATGATCCATGAGCGTATTGTAGTCACACTCCATACCAATACATAGCAACCACTTAAATCTGCGATACACTACTGCTGTTGTGTTCTTTTACAATTTCTGATACTCTCAGTCCACTCCTTCCCTCTCTTACTCTTTGCCACATCCCACCTCTATCACACTCCTTTAGCAAGAAGGATCCCAAAGCGCAGATGCTGAACTGGATGTCAGCTAGTCTGGGAGTGACTCAGACCTTGTTAGTCTTTCTGTCTTTTTGACCCTAATTCTCTCCCACTTCTTTCCTAAGGACATTGCTTAGGCCATTTTAGAAAACTGCATGCAATTCTGGTCTCCCTGTTATGGGAAGGATGTTGTGAAACTTGAAAGGGTTCAGAAAAGATTTACAAGGATGTTGCCGGGCTTGGAGGGTTTGAACTATAGGGAGAGGCTGAATAGGCTGGGGTTATTTACCCTAGAGCATTTAGGGGCTGAGGGGTAACTTTATAGAGGTTTATAAAATCACGAGGAGCATAGATAGGGTGAATAGCCAAGGTCTTTTTCCTCGGCTAGAAGAGTCCAAAACTAGAGGGCATAGGTTTACGGTGAGAGGGGGAAGATTTAAAAGGGACCTAAGGGGCAATTTTTTCACGCAGAGGGTGGTGTGTGTATGTAATGAGCCGCCGGAAGAAGTGGTGGAGGCTGGTGCAATGACAACGTTTAAAAGGCATCTGGATGGGTATTTGAATATGAAGCGTTTAGAGGGATATGGACCAAATTCTGGCAAGTTGAACTAGGCCAGTTTAGGATATATGGTCGTCATGGACGAGGTGGACTGAAGGGTCTGTTCCTGTGCTGTACAACTCTTATGACTCTTTGACTTTGACTCATTCCTGGGTGGGAAGTGAGGCTGAGAACAATTTCTTTGTTGTTCACTTATGATCCAGGAGGTTTCAAGCCAGGACTTGCAGATGATACTAAGCTAGGGAGAATAGTGAATTGCGAGGATGAAGCTGAGCAATTTCCAAGGGACATTGACAAGTTGGCCAAATGGGCAGGCATCTGGCAGGTGGATTTCAATGCAGAGAAATGTGAGGTAATGCATCTTATTCGAAGAAACACAGAGAGATAATCCAAGCTCAATGATACAACTTTGAGGGAGCACAGGAGCAGAGGAGCCTTGGGGTTCAAGTGCATAACTCTCTGAAATAATAAGGTGTAGAGCTGGGTGAACACAGCAGGCCAAGCACATCAGAGGAGCAGGAAGGCTGACGTTTCGGCCTTCTTCAGAAATGGGGGAGGGGAAGGGGTTTCTGAAATAAATAGGGATAGAAGATGGATAGAGGAGAGGATAGGTGGAGAGGAGACAGACCGGTCAAAGAGGCGGGGATGGAGGCAGTAAAGGTGAGTGTAGGTGGGGAGTTAGGGAGGAGATAGGTCAGTCCAGGGAGGACGGACAGGTCAAGGGGGCGGGATGAGGTTAGTAGGTAGGAGATGGGGTGGGGCTTGAGGTGGGAGGAGGGGATAGGTGGGAGGAAGAACAGGTTAGGGAGGCGGGGACGAGCTGGGCTGGTTTTGGGATGCGGTAGGGGGAGGGGAGATTTTGAAGCTTGTGAAGTCCACATTGATACCATTGGGCTGCAGGGTTCCCAAGCCAAATATGAGTTGCTGTTCGTGCAACCTTCAGGTGGCACCGTTGTGGCAGGCAGGAGGCCCAGGATGGACATGTCGTCTGAGGAATGGGAGGGGGAGTTGAAATGGTTCGCGACTGGGAGGTGCAGTTGTTTATTGCGAACCGAGCGTAGGTGTTCTGCAAAGTGGTCCCCAAGCCTCCGCTCGGTTTCCCCGACATAGAGGAGGCCACAACGGGTACAGCGGATACAGTGTACCACATTAGCAGATGTGCAGGTGAACATCTGCTTGATGTGGAAAGTCTTCTTGGGGCCTTGGATGGGAGTGAGGGGAGAGGTGTAGGGGCACCATCATACCAATCTCTCATTAGAAAGAGGGAGAGAGGCAACTGATGGTGAGCGGAACCTGATGGTCACCACTGAGGTGGAGAAGACAGGACCTACACTGTTGGTGTCACTCTGTTTTGCAAACAAGCTGTCCAGCTAAGTGAGCTAGCTGACTCGACTTCTTAAGTCCTGATCGGTATGACATGGTGCAAGCAAGGTTAAGTCAATACCAAACCATTGCAGAGCGTTTTTCTTTGCTTCATTCTGCTGTTTGAGTGATCTCTTTGCCCTCACAAGGGAAGGCCATGGAAATGTGAGAAATGCATTTCCCTCGCATGTCTGCTGGTTAGAGGTACACTACCTAGAGGTGACATGGATAATGTCAGGACAAGTCGATAAAAGTGTTCACACAGACAAAGAGGGTCCTTAGTTTTAGTCATAGAGTATAAAAGCTTAGGCGGTCTTGAGGTAAACGTGCAGAGTCCCTGAGCCCGAGGCCCACTCCAGGACCTGCTTGACGACAGAAGGTGGGTTCTCATTGTGGTCACACAAGCAATTGTAAGCCCTTCTAACATGGCCGTGATGCAGAACAAGTAAGGTTCCTGGCCAGCCACATTTGAGTAATCTTCTTGAAAATGGGGAAGGGATTCTGGGTACCACACGTTCACGGCATTTGAGCATGCCTGCCAAGGCCAGAATTTTTTGCCCTTCAACCGAGTGGCATGCTTGGCCATTTCGGAGAATCATTGCTGTGAGTCACATGTAGGCCAGACCAGGTAAGATGGCAGATTCTTTACCTAAAGGGCATTAGTGACCCAGATGAAGCTTCACAACACCCTGCATGGTCTCCAATGGGCAACATAAGAATATAAGAAATAGGAGCAGGAGTAGGCCATTGGCCCATCAAGCCTGCTCCACCATTAAATAAGAACATAGCTGATCTTTTCATTGACTCAGCTCCACTTACCTACCAGCTCACCATAACCCTTAATTCCTTTACTGCTCAAAAATCTATCTTTGCCTTAAAAACATTCAACAAGGTGGCCTCAACTGCTTTACTGGGCAGGGAATTCCACAAATTCACAACCCTTTGCGTGAAGAAGTTCCTCCTCAATTCCATCCTAAATCTGCTCCCCCTTATTTTGAGACAATGCCCCCTAGTTCTAGTTTCACCCATCAGTGGAAACAACCTCCCTGCTTCAATCTTACCTATTACCTTTATATGTCTTTATAAGATCTACCCTCATTCTTCTAAATTCCAATGATTTTAGTCCCAGTTACTCAATCTCTCCTCGTAAACTAAACCTCTCAACTCTGGAATCAACCTAATGAACCTCCTCTGCACCCTCTCCAGTGCCAGTGCATCCTTTCTCAAGTAAGGAGACCAAAAGTGTACACAATACTCCAGGTGTGGCCTCACCAGCATTCTATACAGCTGCAGCATAACCTCCTTATTTTTATATCCAATCCCTCTAGCAATGCAAGACAATATTCCAGTTCCCTAAGCATTTTTTTTATACTCCAGATTTGATTGAATTCAAATTTCAGCATCTGCTGTGGTAAGATTCGAACCCACGCTCCCAAAACATTACCCTGGGGGACTGGATGACTGCTGAGATGACATTATCACTGTGGTCCTATAACTCTGTAATACTATCAAGCTTAAAACTGAGATTTACTGGATAGATACCAGGGACAAGAGACTTCAAGTATATGAAGAAAATGCAGAAGCTGGGATTGTTCTCCTCAAAGAAGAGATATCTGAGGGGAGACTTAGTGTAGATGTTCAAAATTATGACATGTTTTGGTAGAAGAAATGAGGAGAAGCAGTTTGCATGGCCAGGAGAGATGGTGAGATAGAGATATAGACTCAAGAAAAATTGCAACACAATCAGAAACGTTTTAGGCAAAGATTTGTGATGTTAAATGGACTTCCTGAAATAGTTGTTGATGCAGATTCAGGACTAGCCTTCAAAAGACGATTGGAGTAATATTTGATTAAAAAAAAGACAGGACCAGGGATAAAAAGAGGGAGAACAGAACTGACTAAGGAGAAGATATAATGGGTCAAATAGCCAGCATTTGTTGCCCATCCTTAACTGCCCTTGAACTGAGGACACTTAACAGTCAACCATGTATCTATGGGCCTGGAGTCACGTGTAGGTTAGACTAGGTAAAGATGGCAGTTTTCCTTCCCCAAAGCCATTAATGAACCAGACGGTTTTTTAACAACAAAAAAAAATTATGGCTTTACGTCACCATTTGAAGCTAAATTTGACCAGTTCCTGTGATGGGATTTAAACCTATGTCGCCAGAACATTTGGCTGGTTATCACTAACCCAGTGATATTATCATTACATCACTCTCCTTTCCTATTCCCATCTCATTCTAAGATAATATCGAAAAATATAAATGAAATTGAGTGTGTTCTGGAAAGTAAAACTACTTCTGAGTCAAATACACCGTGATAGTTAGATGGACTTTGGGGTCACAAATGGGGATAGGGATATGTAGATGGGCTAAATGGCATTTTATCTTTCAAAATTTCATCATGTTTCAAATTAAACCAAGGTTCAAGCAGCTACAATCAATGATATTCTTTCAGAAGTAAGTCCCTTATTGTAGGAAATTTGCATAATACGTGACATTGTCAGTAAAATTGAAGGTAGTGGGATTAAAGGAACAGAAGGAGTATTGTTATAAAGCGGATGCTGACCCGCCTACTCCCCACCCCGAGAACTAAAACCGAAACACCCAAAGAAGAGCACCTCGCCTTATAATCTGTAAAAGGAGTGTGAGAAGTGGTGTAACCTGCTCTTCAGCAACTTCTAGTGGTTAAATAAAATAAATCCCTGACACTCACTTTAAAATCAACAATACACAATTTATTTGTCTAACTCTGACAGTTAACATAATAACTAAACTATTAACAAACCAATAAACCCCTTTTAACTACTAGCTATTCCCAAATAAAGCAAGATTCTATTGGTATGCTGTTCCAATAAACGTAAGTCACACTTACATTAAAGAGGAATTTAGTCTCTCGAAATTACAGCCTGGTTGTGTGACTTCCGAAATGTTCCGTGCCTCCTCCATTGATTCTTCTGTCAGGAATATTAGCTAGTTGTGCCATTGGCACAATTGGTACTTAAATGGTGCTTTCCCTGAGACATAGAGGAGGCTGTGAGAGCCAGCAATTCTCTCTTAGTAGCTGAGGGCTGTCACCTCTGGCAGATAGCAGTTAGCTCTGCTGTCTTTGTCCAACTTCCCTGTTCTTTTTTGCGCTTGATGATATGTCAATATTTCGTACAATAGGATTGGTCCTATGTTGTCAAGACCATCAGATTTAAATTTAATTGATTTTTGGTACCTAAGTGCCTGGTTCAAATTGATTGGCGAAATTCAAAACATGTTGTCTTGGTAAAAACTGTTGCTTCGCTAACTGTACAGCCGTTTGATACAAATGTTTCAACTCGAGTGCTCTCCATGTATTTGCAAACTTTCAAGCTGCTGCTCGCAGACATCCATTTCAAATCTCTAAGCACAGAAGAAGCACATCATCTTTTCAAGGGATCACGCAATGTTTCCCCCCCACCTCACCCAGCACTTTACAAACACCAAATTCTAATTTCCTGTCTCCCAATCTACAAGTACTCTACCTGACTTTGCAACAGTATGGATAAGAAATTGATTAAGGACACGGGAATAGTGCAGGTCATTCAGTTCCACAAGCCTGTTCCACCTTGCTGTTCGGTCCGATCTGACCTACACCTCACCTCCAACCTTTGTTCCACAGGAGTTTTGCCCGCTCAGATGTAATCTTTTTCAATATCCTGCATCCCTCCATACAACAAATTGCCCTTCAGAACTGGCATCTGCCGCACCCTCGGGAAGATGTATAAGCCTTTTCAAGATCAGCAAAAGCCCAGTGTGTATAATACATCACGCAATAGGGCGGTGAAACGTAGGGACTGGGAATGAGCCAGATTCTGGGCATATGACAACTTACCACAGAGACAACTAGCCTGGTTACTGCAAACTCACCACAACCCATCCCCCATCCTGCCAACCTCCCACTTTAGTGAGTATTGGCCTGGATTCAGTTTCGATGCCGTTGAAAATGGTGCAATCAACTGTAGAGTGTTAAGCACAGGAGGGATCAGTGAGCCCCTCAAGTCTGCTCCCGAACCGTAACTTTATCCTAATTTCTGTTCTATATCCGCAGATATTATTGCCTTAGAGAAACCTAACAATCGAGATTTTTTGTGAGATCCATGTTGCTCCTGACACCCCACGTGTTTTGTGAGGAGAGAGTGGCAATTTCCATGAACACTTTACATCAATAAGAGCTTTTTGCATTCTCCTCTAAATGGCCTAACTCTGATTTTAAAATGTCGTGCTCTTATTCTCGACCCTCTCGGCGGAAACAGGTTCCCTCCATCTTCCGAAATAAACCCTTTGGACATTTTCTAAACCCCTGGATTAGGTTGAAGGCGGGTATTTGGAGGTAGGCCACGGATCAGCCATGATCTCATTAAATGGCGGAACTAGTGCGAGGTGCTGAATGGCCTACTCCTTTTCCCATGTACCCCTTAATCTTCTAAACTTATGAGAATACGACAGAACCAAGGTTTACCCAGCATATCCTCATCATACAATTCTTTTGGCGCCTCAGTGTCATTCTAATGATTCTGTCTGATTGCTCCAGCCTTAGTCATGGTACCCAGAACCAAATGGCCTTCTCAAAGCCAGCTGGAAGAGTGGTCTGGGTTGGAGGAGAATGGATTACGTGCGCCGGAGAGGAAAGATTTCACTTATGCAGTCTGCGGCAATCTATTAGCTCAACTTCCCTTGACCGCTATAAATGCTAACGTGTATTCCCTTCATATCTGTCTTCTGTTGCAGTCGTGCCGTCCAGCCCTCCTATGACGGCTTCCTCCGTCACCCTGTCTTCCAATGGTAACACTACCCCAGGCATTTTCTCATTCTCTCCTGTCAATATGATCTCTGCAGTGAAACAGAAGAGCGCCTTTGCCCCTGTCGTTAGGCCTCAGGCCTCTCCGCCTCCTACCTGCACTGGCTCCAATGGGAACAACCTGCAAGGTGAGCTACAGCTGCCGCATTTCAACGCTGCGTCTTTTTTAATGTTCGGCTTACACTCTAAAGCGCATCGTCCTCTTTTCGTTAGCACTTATTTCAGGCAAGTTACGCCGCCAGCAAAGGGGGAGAAAAAAGGTCAGGCATTGACCAGTTGTTGGGCTAGTAGGCTGCACCTTGACACCACGGCCCACCCCAATTGGGGATGTTCTCCATAGAATTGGTATTGCATTTCTGTAAAACAAACTAGGGCAGGACTTCCATATTAGTAGTAGGGCCCTGGGTAGTGTTGGCAAGCAGAGAGACCTAGGGTTTCCGGTACGTAGTTTTTTGAAAGTTGTGTCACAGGTAGACAGTGTGGTTAAGAAGCGATTTAGTACAATTGCCTTTATTGCTGAGATCTTTGTGTATAGGAGTTAGGATGTCATGTTAAAGTGGTACAGGGTATTGGTGAGGCTACTTTTGGAGCACTGTGTCCAGTTCTGGTTGCCCTGCTATAGGATACTATTAAATTGGAGAAGGTTCAGAAAAGATTTACCAGGAATGGAATGGAAATGGAAGGTGGGAATGGAAGGTTTGAGTTACAAAAATAAGCTGGGACTTTTCTCACTGGATTGTAGGAGATTGAGGGGTAACCTTGTAGATGTTTATAAATTCATGAGAGGCATAGTTAAGGTGAATAGCAAGGGCCTTTTCCCTAGGGTGAGGGAGTTCAAAAAAAGGGGGCATAGGTTTCAAGTGAGAGGAGAAAGATTTAAAAGGGAACTGAGAGACTACTTTTTCACGCAGAGTATGTGGAATGAACTGCCAGAGGAAGTGGAAAATGTATGTATAGTTGGAACATTTAAAAGACATTTGGACAAATACATGAATAAGAAAGGTTTGAGGGATATGGGCCAAACACAGGCAAGTTGGACTAGTTTAGTTTGGAAAACTTGGACAAGTTAGACCGAAGGGTCTGTTCCTGTACTATGATTCTACAATTGCTTGATGTTTGTGGTGTAGGTGGGACCACACAGAGAATGGCTGCACACAAAATGGAAGGAGCTGTCACCATGTAGGATTTCTGTAAGGATTGGGGTAAATCAGTAAATCAGTTCACAAAAATGGGAATCCCCCTGGAATTCAAAGCTGGAGGAACTGTGAAAAGTCAGGACCTGCCTAAAGTGTACCAGCCTCCCACTCGCTCCTCCGACACCTTTCCCCTGACCACCTCCGATTTTGGTTTAGCTCTCTCTGCTCCTGAAAGTGCCGACTCTCACTTCCGTTCCTCCAGGGCCAGCAATTCTGCACTCCCACCCCTCTGAGTATGTGAGAAAAGGCAGGGTCAGCGTGCCAGTGACGCCGATGGCAAGAACAGAATCAAAGAAGACATGAGTGATACCAAATAGAGGGATGGGTTGATGAGTCGCCTTGTCTTACACTCATCAAGACAAATGCAGGAATGTCAAATCTGAAATGATCTCACCAGTTCTGCCATTCTTGCATTTGTCCCGATGAGTGCAGCTTAAAAGCTTTGACAATCCACCCCACTTTTCAGTAATTTCACAGACATAAACTGACCCCTCGACTCATTGAGTCAGGACAGCATTTTCCACATTAATGCTCCAGACGATGTTGGCAAGGTCACAACGTCAGCCCATTGCACTGAGGAGATGTTAGGGATTTTCTCCATATACTTGCAGCTGAATTGCTTTCCTAGAGTTCACTAAGGTTCAATCAGATAGTAAAGGATTGGAGTTATGTGGTGGTCAGATTGACAGAGTTCATTAATAAAAACAGATACTGCTGGAGAAACCCAGCAGGCCTGACAGTATCTGTGGGGAGAGAGAGAGAGCGACAGAGTTAATGTTTCAAAGTCCAACATGACTCTTGTTCAGAGTTCTGAAGGGTCACTGGACTCGAAACGTTAACTCTGTTTCTCTCTCCACAGATGCTGCCAGATCAGCTGAGTTTTTATTTCTGATCTTTAATATCCACAATACTTTGCTTTTATTATGACAGATGTCCTTACTTTTTAGGAACTGGATTCAAGATTTAAAAGAAAGTGTTCTGTAACATTTCTACATCTCTCCTTTGATTCTATTGTCAATTATCTTAAACCTCTGTTCTCTGGTTACAGACCCTCTTACCAGTGGAAACAATTTTCCTTATTAATTCTTTGAACAGCTTTATTGAATCTTCCCTTAACATTCTCGAGTCAATGAGAACAATCCCAGATTTCCACATAACTGACCTCCCATATCCCTGGAACCATTCTGGTAAATCTGTCCTCCAATATTTCATCATTCCGTCCCAAGGTACGATGCCTAGAACTGAACAGAATACTCCATCTGCAGTCTAGCTGATGATTTTATTAAAGCTGTTTAACTTCTTGTCTTTCATACCCTATTCCTCTATTAATAGAACCAAGCATGCATAGAACTCCTACAGTGTGGAAGCAGGCCATTCAGCCCATCGAGTTCACACCAACACTCTGAAGATCATCCCAACCAGACTAAGCCTGCTACCCTATCCTTGTAACCCTGCATTTCCCATGGCTAATCCACCTAGACTGCACATTCATGGACACTATGGGGCGATTTAGCATGGCCAATCCGCTTAACCTGCACATCATTGTTCTGTGGGAAGAAACTGGAGTACTTGGAGGAAACGCACATGTACATAGGGACAGCATCTGCAGTATTTTGCCTTTAAGCAGGAAATGACAGGCTAGTTAATGTAACATCCGTCATTGAGAAAATGCTTGAGGCCATTATTACTGAAGAAAAAAGGCGCTTAGAAAAGTTTACCACCATCAAATAAAATCAGCATGGTTTTATGAAAGTGAAAAATGTTTGACAAATTTGCTTGAGTTCTTTGAGGATATAACAAGCAGAATTGATAAAGGGGAACCAGTAAGTGTCGTGTATTTGGATATTCCAGAAGGCATTTGATAAGGTGCCACATAAAAGGTTATTGCACAAGATTTAAGATCACAGTATTGAGGATAATGTCTTCCCATGGATTGAGGATTGGCTAACACACAGATTATCAGAATTAATAGGTTCTTTTCCAGGTTAGAAAGATGTAACTATTGCACTGCCAAAATGATCAATGCAAGAGAATCAATTATTTACTGTTGATTTTAGCAACCAGGAAGATGGGGCAGAATGTAATGTCTAATATAATGTGCTGATGATACAACAACAGGTGGGATAGCATGTTGTATTGAAAACTTATGGAACCTGTGAGAGAATACAGATGAGTGAGTGGGTAATAATTTGGCAGGTGGAGTTTAATCTGGGAGTGTATGAGGTTGAGCATTTTGGCAAGAAAACTCAAAAGGTAGTCTTTTACGTTAATGAGGAGATAATTTTTTTAAAACGTACAACACGGAGGGATCTGGGTGTTCTTGTATTTGAAACACAAAAAGTTAGTAGTTAGATCTGCAAATAATTAGGAAGGCAAGTGGAATTTTGGTCTTTATTGCTAGGGGTTTGGAGTTTAAAGATTGAGAAATCTTAATATAATTGTGCAGGCTATTGGTGAGGCTACACTTGGAGTTCTGTACACTGCTTCAATCCCGTATTTAGTAAAGATATATTGGCATTGGACTAAGCGCAGAAGAGATTCACAAGGGTGATTGCTGGAATGAAACTGTTGATTTATCAAGAACAACTAAGCAGGTTAGGTCCTTATCGTTAGATTTTGGAAGAATGAGGGGTGAAAGTATTGAAACATACACGATCCTGGCAAGGGTTAACAAGGTTATGTTGAGAAAATGTTTCCAGTAGTGGAGGAGTTCTCAAGTTGGGAGATGCAGTTACGAAATAAGGGAGCACTCACTTAAAACTGAGATTCGAAGGGATTTTTTTCTCTCTCTCAGAGAGTAGTGAGTGCCTGAAAGTCTCTATCCCAGACAGTTGAGAAAGCTAGATCACTGTAAGTGTTTAAAGAGGAGGTGGATGAATTTTCGGAATATCAGGGAGAGCTATGAGGAGTTGGAATGAAAGAGGAGTAGAAGCCTGGGACAGATCAGCCATGATATCGCAGAAAGGAAAGGGCAGGCTTGAGAGGTCAGATGGGCCTCATCTTTGCCTGTTTCTTATGTTTATGTTCAGCTTCGGGGGCAGATGAAGAGCAGGTTGACCACATAAAGAGCCTTGTTAGGTGGTGTCACATATCAGTGAATGTATGCAAGGGACAACCATTCCAATCTAACCTGTCATTTCTCTTTCTTTTCTCCTTCCATCTTCAAGCCATGTCTGGCCTGATAGTTCCTCCGATGTAGAAGAGGCGGCTTGTGAATGATGAAGGCAAACAGCTCCGCAAGTCAACACATGGGCCAAGCAGAAAGCAAGGCCCCATGTCGCCCTCTTTTTTTTAAAATTTTGTCTGCCCCCTCACCCCCCTCCCACAAACCCCTTCCCCACAACTTTGAGACGTTTCATGCAACGACGATGTTCTTTCCGTGAATTCTTGGGCATTTGATTTCGAAGCGATACTCTGAGCAGCTGTCCACGTGTTAAACGATGGGAGGTGTTGTGCAGGAGACAGACAAATGACCCTGCCTTCTCCCTTCCTTCCCAACCTTTCCTAGGCACCTGAAACTTCCGAACTACCCCCTTCTGCACCCATCCCCGTCCCTCCATCCAGCCCCCATCTCCTTTCACTCAAATTGGACCAATGATCGTGGGCCTCAACCATTCGAAAAGCCAACACCAACGAGGTCATTTCCTCATTCTGTATGGAGCGGCGAGGAATGGTACAGTAGAGGAGACATTGTTAACATGGACTGCAGTCACGACAGTGAGAAAAATCTTAGCACCAAAATCACTTCCGGTTGATGCCAACGAGATTGTGTGAAGAGAAGTGAAAAGGAATTGAGAGAATGTTCACCAGGGAACCAAGGGAGGACGGTGTTGGTTGTATCATCAATGAAGGTTTGATCACACCAGGCCTTTTAGATCCCATATAGTTATGGTGAACTTTGTACACCAGTCAGTGTTCCTGTGACTCCTGAAGGTGTGGTGATTTATTATTTAAATACTATGAGAAGCGTCCCAATTAAACCTCATAGAATGCTTCTTTCTCTCTTTCTCTTCCTTGCTCTCTCTCTCTCTCTCTCTCTCTCCCTCTTCTATTTCTCTTGTCACCTTCGGCAGCAGCCATCTTACTTATGTTCACCCCCTCTCTTTCATGAAGCTTAACTGGCTAGAAGCTTGTGAGGACCCACCTGGCCAAGCCAAACCTGTGTTTCTTTGGAAAGTTCCAGATGGCGTGCTCTTGATTGCACAGAATATTCCCGGGGCTCCAGAACATTCCGTCAATGGTGTTACTCTCACAGCTAAGATTCCAAATTTCCTGAGTGCTTGACCTAATGTGCAGGACCATTCAGCTCCACGATGCTTTGTATAAAGGACAGGGGGAGTTGGATGACCTGACAGGGCAAGGCCAAATCCAGCAGGGAACAAGGTCTGGGCAGGTACAATGGATACAGGTTTTCACAAAGATTTATCCCCTTTCTTTTTTGTATATGAATCTGTGTGTCAGTGGGTACCACCTAAGAGTCAGGAGGTTGTCTAGCCCTAGCTGTCTAGCTCTACTCCAGAGATTTGTACAAATATCCTCCAATGCTTAACCGAGGGAGTGCTGCACTGTCAGAGGTACAATCTCTCAATTAAATAGAGGCTCCGTTCCCCCCTCTCATGCGGGCAACAGAGACCTCACGATACCATTTTGAAAACAAGAGGAAAGTGCCCATGGTTCTCCATTAACATATATCCACCCTCCTACATTGCCAAAGCAAATTGTTTGCTCATTCTCACACTGTTTGCTGTGTTCAAATTGGCTGCCAAAGTTTCCTGTTCTGCTCATATTTCAGAAGTACTGCACTGGCTGGAAAACGCTTCAGGATACCCTGAGGTTGTGACAGGGGCTATGTGAATGCAAGTCCTACACCAGCTGGCAACCCAATTGGGTACCCGTTAGTGTCAGGCATGAGAGGTTTAGTCAGTCCAGAAGGGGGAGGAGTTGTAAAAGCTCAACAAATAGGAAGCAGGAGTCCATTGAGCCCATCCAGCTGATTCGTTCCCTTTGAGTGCAAGTTCTTGACCTTGGCACACTTTGCTTAATATGCCACGCTCACTGCAAGTTCCAGTCTCATCAGGGATAACAGGGACCAAACACAATTAACCAAACAATGATGTTTGCTAAATTGTCAATTTAATGGTGCAAAATCTGATCTTGTCAAACTGGAACTTATCAGACCATTTCTTATACTCCTCAAACCAAATGTTTGATTTGGTTCAATGGTCTTTTGCATGTTGCTTATGGTTCAAGACATGAGGTATTCTGCTGTACCTGTCCTGGGAATGTTTTATGAGGACAGTGTAGAGGGAGCTTTACTGTTTATCTGTCTCCATGCAGTACCTTTCCTGGGAATGTTTTCTAGGGACAGTGTGGATGGAGCTTTACACTGCATCAAACTCCATGCTATCCCTGTCCTCAGAGTGTTTGATGGGGACAGTGTAAAGGGAGCTTTAACTCAATCTAAAAGAATAGACGAAGCTGTTAATCCAGAGAACCAGGTAATTTCTTGTACCCGGGTTCGAATCCCGCTACTGTAGATGGTGGATTCAATAAGAACCTGGAATTCAGAGTCTAATGATGGCCATGAATCCATTGTCAATTATCAGGAAAAACCCACGTGGTTCAATAATGCCCTTTAGGGAAGGAAACTGCCATCCTTACCTGGTCTGGCCTACATGTGACTCCAGACCCACAGCAACGTGGTTGACTCTTAAATGCCCTCTGGGCAATTAGGGATGGGCAAAAAGGCTGGCCTAGCTGGTGACCTCCACATCCCATAAATGAATAAAAAAAACTATTTTTGGCTGTACATCGCAATGTCATATTTGGAATATAAATAGAATATTTCATGAGGACAGTGTAGAGTGATCTTTACTCTGTATCTAACCCTGTGCTGTACCTGCCCTGCGACTGCTTGATGGACACAGTGCAGCTTTGTTCTGTACCTAACACATGCTGTGCCTACCCTGTATGCATTTAATGGGGCAGTATAGAAGGATATCTACCCTACCAAATCCATGCCATATCTGGGAGCATTTGATGGGACAGTGCATATGAATCTTTCTTGTGAAAGTAACCTGGGCTGCATGTGCCCTTGTTGAGGGATCTCTAAATTGAATATGTGGTTTCCTGCCCTGGGAGTTTGATGCTGGCACCTCAAACAAACCATAAAACAAATGTCAATGCCAGTTGTATGTGCCTGTCCTCAATAAGCACAAAGAATAACATTATCAAAATAAATTCCAGAGAATGTGTTGCAGTCTGGGAAGACTTTACAGCACTGAACGCACACCAGGAGAGGAATGCTGCACCATGCATTAGAATATTGATGGAAAGCACAGAAATGTAAGCACAATATATCCTTTACGCTGTGCTCAGTCACTGTCACCCAGTCAACAGTGTAATTGGCCTCAGGATCCTATAGGTTCAGGAGAGGGACAAAAGTCATCCAAGGTTCCCAATCTGAATCACTGTCATCTAACTGTAGCCTGACTGACTGTAGGTGTGTCTGTGAGGGTGAGGTTATGTTTTTGGCACATACCTGGTGAAATTACCACCAGTTAGTTACTCAAAGATGCCTATGCACTCCATGCCATAAAGTAACATTGACAATGTCTGCATTAACTCTCTCACTTATTCCAATGCTGATTCACTGAGGACCAGCAAGCTTCTCAAATAGGCCCATGTTAATATTTTTTTTCTCTGTTTTCCAATGTTCTCCTTTCTCCCGTAGCTGTCTTTCAAGGAGCCTTTTTTTACCCTAAGCAATCAAGAATGACATCTTCCTTTCATCCTCCCTTCCCATCCCACTTTTGTAAATAGCCCTGCCCCCATTTCACCTCTCTCTTCCTCACGCTCCCCCACACCATCTCCCTGCCCCTACCCCACCCCAGACTCTCTGACCCCTGCCACCTGAAGGCAAGGAGACACTGGGGCCAGTTAAAGCTACCCCCACTGGTTGAGATCAGTCAACCTGGTGCAAAACTAGGGAATCCAAGTTGAGAACGTCTGGTCTCTCAGGCTCAGTGCCTACAAGTTGAACAGGGGAATTGGGCAATATTAACCTTAGCACGAGGTGATATTTCCACCGAAACTGCAAGAGTGTGTGTGTGCGTGCGTGTGTGTGTGCATTGTACAGACTGTGTATATATTGATATCAAAGGGTTGAACATTCTCTGGGTTAGATGGGATTTTGCCAAGTACTGTACAGTACAATATGTTTAAATGCTTGCTGTTCTTGTGATATGAAACTGGTACCAGTCTGTTGCTTAATGATCCTTTCTCTGTTGTGTTTTTTTGTACGTAGTTTGGAAAAAAAGAAATGCTGTTAACACTTTGTGATTTTTAAAAAGTTTTTATTTTCTTTGAACTCCTGCTCAAGTTGTACTTAAAGCCGTGTATAATATCAGTGTCTTCATGATGACTTTTACAATTCCTAAATAAATTAATTCAAACACCTTTACTTCCGGTCTCTCTTTTTGTATCCTGGGCCCATCCACCATTCTCGCTCCCTGAATTAGAGACTTCTTTGATGGTATGATGTGGAGGTGCCAGTGTTGGATTGGGGGTGGACAAAGTCAGAGGTCACACGGCACCAGGTTATAGTCCAACAGGTTTATTTGAAATCACAAGCTTTCGGAGCGCTGCTCCTTCATCAGGTGACTTAAGTGCTCTGAAAGCTTGTGATTTTAAATAAACCTGCTGGACTGTAACCTGGTGTCATGTGACTTTTGATTTAGCAGGTAGAGTCTGGCATTACTCCCTCTACAAGGAGGAAATGTAAAGGGAGATGTGGAATAGAATAGAAGTTTATTGTCGCGTGTATTTTTTTTTACAAAAAAAGAGTGAAAAGTGTTTAAGTTGCCATATCCTGGCACCACTTCAATAACAAATTATATGTGTTAAAGAAAGAAAGAATTAAGACAAAGTCCATTTCAGTTCAATTCACAATGGAGCACAGAATTCTCTGAAGGGTTAAACACCATGAAATTAAAAAAAAAGTGATAAATTAATCTGCACACTAAGAAGCATTCAGAATTATGAGACTGATGAATGCTACAGCACAGAAGGGACAATGTTTTAAGAACTTTCAAAAGTAATGTAGTTCAGAGCTATTTCCAGACACAATCTGAACTTGTTGAAACAAACTAGTCTTTAACAACCTTAATGAGATGGCCCTTCCAAGGAAGTCTTGTAACAGGCTGCCTGGGGGAAAATGTTAAAGACTAGTGTGTGAGGCTCTAGACCCAGTCAGGTGGTCTGCCACCAGTCCTACCTAGAGAGGAGGCTGGCACTGCTGCAGTAGGAGAGAGATCGTTGGAGCTATAAGGAGATCTGGCCTACTGATCTCACAGGCTCCTCAGGAGGTCTTGGTGGATCCTGGACAAAATGCTTTCAAGCATCTGATGGGCCTTGAGCCCTGAGTGTGGCCCATCCAGCACCAGGACAATCCCAGAGGCAGCCAAATAGACACTTCACTATTCGCCTTGAAAACCATCAGCTGTTGGCTTTGACATTGTCCTGACTTCAGCAATGTTACTTGGAGGTCTCAGGTCACCCTCCATTGAACTTTTCCTCTCGGTCCCACCAGCCTTCAAAGCTGCCTCTTTGGAATCAGGAAAATGACGGCCTTGAGGCTATTTGACCCATCATGTTGGTACTTTGATATGACACTGCACTGCTCTTTCACCTGTATCTTGTAATTGAGAGCGTGGAGTTCCACAGGGGTCAGTGTTGGGACCACAGCTATTCACATTATACATTAACAATCTGGGCGAAGGAACTGAGGATATTGTTGCTAAGTTTGCAGAGATAGGTAGAAGGACAGGTAGTGTTGAGGAAGTGGAGATGCTGTAGAAGGACTTGGACAGGCTAGGAGAGTGGGCAAGGAAATGGCAGATGGAATACAATGTGGGAAAGTGTGACGTTATGCACTTTGGTAGGAAGAATAGAGGGGTAGACCTTTTTTCTAATTGGAGAAAAGCTTCAGAAATCTGGAGCACAAAGGGACTTGGGAGTCCTAATTCAGGATTCTCTTAAGGCCAACGCACACATTCAGTTGGGAAGGCAAATGCAATGTCGGCATTCATTTCAAGAGGACTAGAATACAAGAGCAGAGATGGAATTCTGAGGCTGTACAAGGCTTTGGTCAGACTGCATTTGGAATATTGTCAGCAGTTTTGGACTCTGCATCTAAGGAAGGATGTGCTGGTATTGGTGGGAGTCCACAAGAAGTTTAAGAGAAGGATCCCAGGGATGGAAGACTTGTCATATAAGGAGCTGTTGAGGACTCTAGACCTGTACTCAATGGAGTTTAGAGGATGAGGTGTGGGGAAGCCTCACTGAAACTTTAGAATACTGAGAGGCCTGTATTGAGTAGGTGTAGAGAAGATGTTTCTACTAGGACATGAGGGTCAGTCTCAGAGTGAAGGAACTGAGACGGGGAGGAGGATCATCAGTCACTGGGTAGTGAATTTATGGAACTCACTGCCAAAGAAGGCCATAGGGGCCAAGTCATTGAGTGTATTTAAAAATAAAAATAGATAGGTTCTTGATTTGTAAGGGGATAAAGGGTTACTGGGAAAAGGCAGGAGAATGGGATTGAAAAACTTGTCAGCCATGATCGAATGGTGGAGAAGACTTGATTGGCTGAATGGCCTAATTCTGCTCCTATACCTTATGGTCTTATGATCTTATTTATGTTTTACTGTGCCTCTAATGTATTATAATTATTTTCCATTCAAATTTTTATCCAATTTTTTTTGAAAGTTTGTTTTATTCTTTCCTGGGATAAATTTATCCATTTGATAAGAGATAACTTTATAATACAATAGAGAAAGAGCAGGAGATAGTGACGCTAATGAAGAAAATGCATAATAGGTACAATAAGGCAAAGGGCCTTCTGCTCTATAAGAAATTAAGAAGAAAAATTGTCAATTTTACATCATTTTCCCACCTGCATGAACATGTGAAACACATTTAAAGAAAGTAGTCAGAGGTTAGTTCTTTGTGTTTGTTATGCTTCTAATTACATTCCTACTTTATAACTACAGGAAGCAGAAAGTCAAGGAAATTATGATAAAACTTAACAAAATACTGAAACAAAAATTAAAGGGTTGGAGAAATTCAGCAGGTCTGGTAGCATCTGCAGAGAGAAACACAGGGATAACTCCACAGATGCTGCCAGACCTGCTGAGTTTCTCCAGCAATTTCCGTTTTATTTCAGATATTCCCCCATCCACAGTTCTTTGCTTCATTTTAATGAAATATTGGTTCAGCTTCAATTGGACTACTGTGTTCATGTCTGGACTTTGTACCTTAGAACAGGGTGTGAAGCCATTTGACAGAAGGGTGCAGAAAATAGTACTGAGAATGGTTCCAGGGACACATGATTGTAAGATAAAGGGGGAGAATTAGGCCATTCTGCCCATCGAGTCTGTTCTACCATTTCATTATGGCTGATACGGTTCTCAACCCCATTCTCCTGTCTTCTCCCAATCACCCCAATCCCCTTATCAATCAAGAAACTATCTATCTCTCAAAGGCTTGGTCTCCACAGCCCTCTGCAGTAATAAATT